ATTTGTTCAAGAACACTTCTCACCGCCACAACACTCTTTTTCTCTTTCAACGGATTTTTCTTCAAATGAAATGATAAGATACAATCTTATCTTTTTATTTCTTTAAATACTCCCACCATGGCGGTGAAGATTATTTTAATTATAAAACTCATAGGCGGTGAAAGCTTTAACCAATAGAAATAACCTTGGGTGGTGGGTTTTTCATATAAAATTCGTGATTTTCTTAACCATGAATGTATAAGTTTTTAAATAATATAATAATGTTTCCACCAGAATATCTTATCACAAATAGGCATCATCTCATGTATGTTTCACACCACATGCATACATGTATAAATTACACACATATCATGCCATCTTTTCACATATATGCATGCACAATATCATGTTCATATTTCACATATATAGTTCATGCATTTCTACTTAGACATGCATATTTCACGTAATCCACATAACGAACACGTATAAATTACCTCAACCCAGGTTGTCTCAAACCTGGTTATAACATTTTCTTCTTGTTCTTGCAAAATAATTGAAATAAATGAATCTTTTACCATAGCAAGGTGTTAAATTTTATTGTGATGAAAAGTCTCTAGACGTATAGCTGAGTTGATAAATGGATGGAGCGACTTTGCTCAAGTTCGAATCCTACGGTAGACGGGATTAAGCCCTTCCGTTAGTCTCGACAACTAAGTTAGCTCTGAAAAATCTCCTCACATATGGAAAATATCTAGTAGCATTCAAGGACCTCGGTTGGTCATAAGCATGAGAAGGATTTTATAACATACTGGTCAAACGTTGACAATTGCTCACCCTCGGATAGTAAATTAGGACAAATCATACTCATTTTTATCAAAAAAATGACTGTTGGATAAAGTAAACTTTTTTCCCCATCCAATGACAGGGAAATGGTACTTCAAGGTTCAAATCAAAATCGAGCAGGAGCATCTTGCTATGCGGTGGAATTGATAGAGGAAGAGAGGATTGAGTCATCAATCATGTAGGTTTCTTAAATTAGAGTGACTTTGGCAAGCAAATAATAGCTTAGCAGTAGCTCGAGGCAGTAACAGATATAACTAAAACATTCAAGAGATAAGTTAAGCCTCAAGAACTCAAATTGGTGTTACAACCAATGAATATGGTACATATTATCAGCTAATTTAACATAAAATAGACAAGTGTATTTTAAATGGAGCGGAAGTGACGATCCTTGCATCAAGTTTGGAGCATATCTACTTATGTGATGTAGTTCGCTACAGATCAAATTACAATTTTTTTCAACTTCTATTGCATATGAAGGCTCTGATTCATGCATAAGTTTCTAGTCGAGCGCTTCTAAAAAACTGTGTATTATGCAATAACATTAGAAAAGTGAGATTGAGCCAAAGGGCAATAGAAACAAAAACCATTTCAGCATAAATCAAATACTAATGGACCTTATCCTCAAGTATCTTGATCTGTTCATCCATCCTTTGCTGCTCCCTTCTTCAAAAAATGATTTTAATCTGTATTTAAAACTTGAAGTTATAAGGGGTAAAGTCACAACCATCATTTATGAGAAATACGATATCCAAATAAACAAATTAGCCCAAAGTTAAAGAAAATTCTCAAATCAGATAATAACTTTGTTTTAATCCCTTTAACCCAAAATTATGAAGCCAAAGATGCATGGGGGTTTTCATGTGATTTATAACAAGACTAACAATAAAAGAAGAATGAGATGGAAGTAATGAAAATTGTATACTTACATTTATATGTTTTTACAGCCAAAGAAAACACACACACACGTATGAAAGTTTGGCTACAACAAACACCAACACAAACAAGTGTAAAATTCGGCTATATGAGGTAGAAAGAAAAACAAGAAGCGTAAAACAGAGATGAAGCTGTAGAACCCCGTAAATCAAGACCATGCAATCACTAGGGTTTTGAAATGGAAATGGACTATACCTCAAAGAAATCGCTAGGGAGCCGCGAAATGTAAATCAATACCTCAGGAAAATCGTTGTTGAAAATCAATACTCCAAAACCCTGGTTATATGCACAGTCGTCTTGGGAACCATGAATTTGAAGGCTGAAATCGTCCATTTGTGTAAAGTAGCAGGATTGGAAGAAAGCAAACTTTGACCTTACCAAACAAACCTGTTTTGGCGTAGAGGAGAGCTGTAGAAGGAGGAAAAGGAAGAAGAGCAGAAGAAAGTAAGGTCTGACTTACCAATTTTGTTAGAGAAGAAGTCGTGAGAGATAGTCAATGTATCAAAAACTTGTATATCATGCTTTATGAGTTGCAATTAAGAGATTTTGAAATTCTTGCATAAAATGGTTATACCTTGTGTTTAAAGACTTGTACTTAAGACTTTGGTTTAAATGATTATTAATGTAGTATAGATAAATCAATTTAAGTTACCTAATTCAAAAATATATAGATTACATGAATAACCTAATTGATATCATTGCTGATGGAAATTTAACTTAAGAAGTAATTGGACCCAAGTTATTAGATTTGGGAAATTTAAGGACAAAATCGTCCAAATTTTGGAACTAGATGACAAGTTAGTAGGGGTGCTCAAAAACCCGACCAACCCGATCAATCCAATCCAACAGGAAATAACCTAACCCGAAGCAACCCGATGTCTAATCAAGTTGTAAAATTGTCAAACCAGGTATTGAGTTGATATTGGGCTACTATTATTTGAACCCAACCCAACCCAACGAACCCGATATACTTTTATTTTTTAGATTTAATATGATTATTGAATTTATATTAATATATACATTAGACAATTACACTATCATGTATGCTTTTCATATATATATTTTCAATCTATTCACATATCTATATAACTCATTTGTATCAATAATTTTGAACATATATACATAAATTAAAAAAATTAATTTAATTTGATATATGTAAGAAATATAGATCAGTTGTATCAAATGATTGATGATGAAAAAGAAATTATGAATATATAAATAACATATTCAAGGTTAGAATAATATTTTGATATACCAAAGTATTAATCCGACTAACCCGACCAACCCATTACTGGTTAGGTTGGTTGCACTTTAATTTTGGTTAGATTAGATTAAGATTTTTCAAACAGCAAATATTAGAATGGGTTGTTCAAAACACTATCAACCCCCGATAACCCCACCTATGACAACCCCTACCGTGGCAGCCGGAGTATATAGCTCACGGAAATTGGGACGCTTGCGATGCGGACAGAGAGATGCCTCCCCGGAAGGAACCATGCCGGAACTTCCAGCGTGGATTGTATACCTTCTTCTTCTTAATCTTCCATTTGTACTTGAATTTATTTATGTGCTTGGTGTTTTTAGGGTTTAAAATCTTTACGTTCTAGCATTTGATGATAGTTCTCACTTCCTTGAAAACCCTGTTGAAGTTTTACCGTTGTAAAGCAAGATCCACGCCCTCGGTTTTGTTGGTGAAATCCCACGCGAGTTTTTGTGGGTTTTACTTAAAAGATTTATGGGTTTATAACTTGCACGTTGTTGATTGCCTTTACCGATTCGTGTTTGAAGAAGAGATATGATCATCAAGTTCTTATACCTCATTTTGTACTGAAATATCTTCAGTTTCTTTAAAAGAATCACTAAGTTGATTCTTACTAACAGCTTGAGTTCATTTGCTTATGTTTTCCTGTGAAAACAGCCATGTATAGTGTGATCTGAGTTGATAAATCAAAGTCATTTGGTCTATTTTTATTAAAGCAGATGGATTCTACTATTATCTCAAAGAAGATGTGAAAGTAGGATGAATGGTATCATGCGACCAAGGTTTATATAGGGTTTAGGGTGTTTGGTTCAGGGGGGATGGAAATGAAAATGACTGGATGAAAATGGGATTGAAAACAGATCTATTGAAGCTCGTATGGGAGGAGGTAGTTATGCTAAATTTTTTGGTATCTGACACCCTAAATACAACTAGTGGCTCGAAGTCAGTATGCTGCTTGTCTCAATAGAGGGATGTTTTTTGTGGGTTGTTTCAGTTGGTGAGAAATCCTCTAGTCATTTGTTGTATTCTGATTCTAGAAGAGGACATCAGTATTATTACCTTTTACCAATCCATCTTGGTTAATGTATGGCTATTAAATGGGGAATGATTAATCTGGTTCTGTTTTGCTCAACCTTAATTGCATAAGATTGATCAATATGAAATTAAATGAGCTGAGATCAATTGAAGGGAAGGTATAATGATCATCGTCAACTGCCCATATAGCCAAATGGAGAGTGAAATTTCATGTACCCGTACATGTAGGCTTCACATGTAGAATCTTCCAACTCTTTGGCATGTTTGTTTGGCCTTCCTTAATGTTTCTTTACAAAAACTTCAACTCTAATGTGAACTTTATAGCATTATTAACCGTCTAGTATTATGTTTAAGGTTGCTTAGAAAAAATATAGCTAAAAGTGTAGTCTGCTTCTTCAGAGTGTGTTAATGTTTGTTTACTAACTATCATCCCTGATATATTTGAAAACAAATTACCCGATTCTATAGTTTTAGCTGTCATCTGAAAAGAAAATTGTTTCTAGTAGTTGATTAACCAAGGCTGACACTTCACATTAATACATTTAAATTCATCACATTTACTTGTGCTTACTTTTCTTTCGCCCATGCTATAGCTATGTGAATGTGGTTTCATAGGGAACTTACTAAGGGGTTGTTTGGTTAGTTTTCCATCCTGTATGGATAAAGTTGACCTATGGATTAATCTGTCTGTAACTTTGTATGGATTGGGAGTTTTTTTACAAGCGTGTCTTTTTTATTGGGAAGGGTAGGTTTGGAAAAACTTGGCTTTTTGCATAAAGCCTGTAACATCCCGTTTTTGCGGGTATCGTCCTTTGCCCTTAGTACAAGTGAATGAAATAAAATTCTTATCTTAAACTTTTATTTCATTATAATGAGGTTATTACAGCAGCGAAAATGCCAAAATTTACAACTTATAATATTCTAACATCTTAGAATAACAACACTTTAGCTTGTTCCTACTCTTTGATTCCTGAGATACATACATGAATACATAAGCTAAAAGCTTAGTGGGTAGTTATGCTTTCATGATAAAACATTCTTTCCAAATGGTTAAAATAATTCTTATAAACTTTCATGTATGAAAACATTTCTTTGAGATCTCGTGGTTGCATGTTAAGTAAACCAACTTCTCACAGGTTCTTTAACCTCGGGTCCACATAAGGGCTGCCCAATAAGGTCCGTTTGCAGGATGTACCTTCTTTCTATATCCCGTACGTTGGATATTTAAATGGTTATACTTAACATATATAAAAATTAAAAATTTCATATACCACATGTGCATCATGACATAAACAGTGTACCTTGCCACATAATCATAACATAACTTTTACAAGAAGATATGGCAATACTCTTTCATGCATAAAACATTTATANTCTTGCACAAGCCGGAGGTCTTCACGTAAACCGCTATATGCTTTTTGAGTAGAGGTAAAATCTGCATAATTCTCTCAACCCCCCCCCCCCCCCCCTCCACAGGGGGCTGGATCATGCTTTTGAGTGGGGTTTACCGAGTCTGTTTGGTTTGTTTTTAACCTTTTCCTATAGTTTCATTGCATGCCTTCTCTTTGGTGGTTTGTACAGTGTAAACTTGGATCAAGATACTCTTCCTCTTTCCCCTATTTGTATGTAGTATTTTGTTAAAATCATCAGTCTTTACCTTTAGTTTCTCTTTTGGCTGGTTTGGACCTGTTAATGTTCTCCATACCTTAATGGAAGTTATTTTCTAATTATGTATAGCAATCAGGCACATATTCTTTTTTTCCACAAAACGATACAGAATTCAGACCACAGGGTTATCAAGTAAAAGTACTTTTAGAAACATCAGTTCTTCATATTCACACACACATATGGTTGGGTTCAGTTGCAAACCAGTTTTAAGTTGTGAACTGGGGGACAAAGGAGAACGTGCCACGTGTCTCATACATTCACAGGTTATTCATCATGAATGGTGCATCAATTTATCATGGTTCATGAATGGCGTATTATTCATCATGAATGGTCTAAATTTAAGGGAAAATCGTCGTTCAATCCGGTCTACAGGGCGGTTTCGTATACTGCTTTTCTCGCTTAGACTTAGTCGATCGAGTCACTCCTTCTCAGGCTTGTAAGATGAAGTAGGGCTATCTTATTCATGATGAATGTTGTATTATTCATCATGAATCCTTCATTATTAATGATGAATGTGGACATCCGTGGACACATGTCGTATGTGTGTGTGTGTGGGGGGGGGGGGAGGGTGTTAGAGAAAATGCATGCCTTTTATTTGATTGTTATCGAGTTTTAAGATATTAATATACATCCTTGGTGAAAGTTCTTTTCTTAAGATGAATACCATTGTGTAACCTAAAAACCTTTTTTTTTTGTTAGTGGCCCATGTGACATTGTTGGTGATATTAGCTGTGAAGAATTGCGTGCTTCTGCCTATGATGATGCTAAACATGGGATGAACATTCAGTCAATTGTAAGTTATTAAAAATCACCATCCTCTTTCTGTTTCCATGCTCTTTTTAAAGATCATATTGTTCTCAAGTTTGACAATTAACGGAACTCACATTTACACAGGTCGAGAAAGAGAGGAGTTTACTTAGTTCCAAGTTGATTGAATTTGAAAACCTACTTCGGAATCCTTATACACCTTCACAAAATTCAACTCATACTGCCCAAAACACCTTTCCTGGAAATAATAGTTCCCCTCAAATGATTCAAAATAATGTCCCTCCTTCGGTTTCAAGTTTCAGCCAATTGGGTACAACCATCAATGCAGGTTTCCAAATGAGGCAAGATTTCGTTTTTCTATTTGATTTATGCCTTTCTTTTAGCAAGTAGGACTTCACCCATAACTCCTGGACCCTTAATATCTTATTTGACCTTTTCAGACCTGCTGCTCCGAATAATGCTTTTGGGCAATCAAATCAGTTCCAAGCTCCTACTCAGATGTCAAATGCATCCCAGAAGAACAACTTTGCTTTTGGAAATCCAGGTGCGATTTTGATGTTATGCAATATGTGGTTTTTTCTGGCTTATTTTTCACTTATTACTTATTGCTTGGTTGCTTGTAGGTCCGACCGGCAGTCAACCCTCTAGCCAGTTGTTTCATAGTTCATTCCCTTCCACCACAACTACCTTTGCAAATACTGATAGGAATGCTTTCTCTAACGCTGCAATTACAACAAATGTTGATGTAGCACATCAACAGTCATCTATGCCATTCGGCAACCATAACGCTTCTACTAATGTAGTTTCTGATCCAGTTTCCAGTGTTGAAATGACGTAAGTCCATTTTTCATCTGTTAATTATGTAGTATTCTTGATGAACCATATTAACCCCCTTAGTAAATGTAACATCCCGTTCCCGGGGGTATCGTCCTTTGCCCTTAGTACAAGTGAATGAAAGAAACTTCATATCTTAAAACTTTTATTTCATTATAATAGAGTTATTACAGCAGCGGAAATGCGGAAATTTACAACTTATGATATTCTAACATCTTAGAATAGCAACACTTCAACTTGTTTCTACTCCTTGATTCTTGAGATACATACATGAATACGTAAGCTTTAAGCTTAGTGAGTAGTTATGGTTTCATGATAAAACATTATTTCCAAATAGTTAAAATAATTCTTATAAACTTTCATGTATAAGAACATTTATTTGAGATCTCATGGTTACATGTTAAGTAAACCAACTTCTCACAGATTCTTTAACCTCTGGTCCACATAAGGGCTGCCCAATAAGGTCCGTTTGCAAGACGTACCTTCTTTCTATATCCCGCACGTTGGATATTTAAATGGTTATACTTAAGATGTATAAAAACTTTCATATACCACATGTGCATCATGGCATAAAAGGTGTATTTTGCCACATAATCATAACATCACTTTTATAAGAAGATATGACAGTATTCTTTCATGCATAAAACACTTATATAAATAGCATGTGTGTATCCCAGTAAATCTCATAACGTATTCACCTTGATTATGCCTAGCTTTTCCTTTAATTCCTATCTTCAAGCTTGATTAGGTATAAAGAGAGATTTATTATTTTTGGTATGGAACTAATGCTAACACTTCAATCACTATTTATAGTTAAATTCATTGCATTAGCTACTTGTTCTTCTTGCTCCCAAAATTGTACTCTTATAATAGTTAAACACCTCATTTTTGAAGATAAGAGAATCTTGGTACCTCATGCTTAATATAAAAGAATCCTGACACCTCATGCTTCTAGCTTTTATTTGTCATGCTTCTAACTCTTGCTTGTCATCATGATTTTTGCCAACACATGCTTCTAGCCTTGACAACTCATAACTAGCTTGCTTTGTCATAAGATTTTTGTGGCTCATGTTGTTTGTTTATAAGTAGCTTTGTAAGCTACTTGCCTTATAAATATGATAGTTTAATAAATGTTACAGCTGTTGGACTCTTTTAAGAGTACTTATTTTTCTTACAAAATCTTGTATTAAGGCTTAAACATTGAAATTTAGCAAATAAAGAAACTAGGGTGTTACAAAGCCTCCCTAGAAGCTTACTGAATAAGCCACTTTCTATATCATTAAGCCACTACCAAACAATCATCTATAGTTGACCATATAAGTTGCGAGTACCATTAAACTTATTAAGCCGTTAACAAACATGCCCTAAGGAGACTGTTTAGGGAGAATTAGGGTGTGCATTTACGGTTGTGTCCCTCCCTCCTTGGACTTATATAACTGAGTGTAGTTCTTCAAGTATTCCGGTCAATATATGTCTTGTGGTCATATTTTTGATTGTGGAGTTAGTAAGTCATGTCAAGGGGATATTTTGAAACTGAATCCTTTTGAGAGTGTTCAAGCTTATGTTTGGATGTCCGTAACAGGCCTGCATAACTGTGAAAAATGCTATAGTATCTTCAATCACTCTTTTTACTAATAATGAGCTTTCTCTATAATATTTGTGAGTTGTTGTCTTTGAATTTTGTGTGGTTTCTGAATTGCCATTGTAGCTATTCAGTAGAAATCTGGAATGAACAAGATAGTGATCATTTTTCTAGAACTCTGGCTTTGCATCTTGTTCCACAAAATTGAAGGATTTTTCTTTTCTTGAAACACTTGCTCTTTCTTTTGCAGCTGTCAGTATGGTGAACGTTGCAAGTTTCTTCATGTAAATCAACAGCAATCAAAACCGAATCCTTTTGGGTTTGGTACACAAAATGCTACACAAGCTCTGCACACTGATTCTCAACCTCAAAAATCCAATCCGTTTGGATTTGGCGTTCAGAACAACTCCCAGATTGGCTTTAAACCCAATCAATTCAAGGTTCATTGTGCATTTAACTGTTACATTTCTATTTATCTACATTGTCAATTTCATCATGTATCACATTTTACTTTCTTGTTGGTTGCTTTTTTTTTTTTTTGTGGATCAGCCTGGTGAAAATAAGTGGAGTCGATTTGGTAGTTCTTCAGCCCCACAAAAACAGGATAATCAGCCTTCAGCACCCAATCACGTGTAAGATTATAGTTACCAGTTTGTATAACGTTCCTGTATCATTAGGATAGGGTAGCTTTCCTCATTTCTGTATTCTGGAAATTGATTAAGTGTGGTTTTGATGATATGAAGGTGCACAGATTCAGAGTCCTGTAAGTACCAAATTAAAGAAGATTTTGAGCAGGAGAAACCGCTTTGGAAGCTTACATGTTATGGTCATCGCAAATGGTATGTTGTTCCTCATCTTCTGTTTTAATTGTATTGGGAAATTTGGACTTGACTTTGTTGTACCATGTCCTTTGAAAAGCAAGATGCCACTTGGTAAGCTGCTCCCTGTTCTGGTTTAAAAAGTTGGGGCACTTTCTTAACGCTGGATTTATTCACTTGGATTAGAAAAGCTTGCAGGCTGAAGGGTAAGTTATCAAACTGGAGTCTGAGATAATCTCTTAACTTTGTTAGTCAAACTCCAACAAGTGTTTTTACTGAAAACTAGTTGCAGTGTAAACAGATGAAACCCAATAGAAATTGCAAAGAGGTGAATCCTCTAGGGTTCTAGGACATGAATAACATTCTTCCACATTTTCCTATCTATTAGCAGCTCCGTATTGGTTCGTTATATGGATTAGTGATAGCCTTTGTAAGTTTTTAGTAATGGGCTACTTATAACTGTCCTCCATGGTTCTAGTTGATTTGGAGGTATTGGGTTAGTATGCTACTTTAGGCTTGGGAATTATATTGTATTAGAATGGTGGCCCTTTGAGAATTGAGATGTAGTGAGTTGGACTCATGCGTCTTCTAGGATGATGATGATGATGATGACGGGATTTTGTTTGTGTATTCGTGTGGGCTTGACATCCTTCAAGAATTTAGATGGAGGAGTTTGTGACATTCATCCCACATTGGGTTACAGTATGGATTGAGAGTCTCCTTGTTAATCCTTTTTTATAGACTACTAATAATGTCGCACCATGATTTTGGTTAATCTAGGTTATTGGACTAGTTTGCTACTGTCTTACATTATTCATAATTGAAGCATACTAATAAGTAATAACTCTTGACATGTTTCTCTACTTTACATGCTTTCCAGTTGCCACTACTTTGTAATACCTATCTTCAATCACTTTTACATTGTAAACCACAAGGGTGGTGCCTGATTGGTTTGAGCTTGGCTCCAAAGGTCAAAAGTACCTGGAGGTCCCAGGTTCAAATCCGAGGAGGAATAAAAATCCCCTTGTGGCCACGGAGGTTCAAATGCCGTGACTCCGGGCTATCTGCAAAGCAAGTGGTCGCTCTGTGTTTAGTCGGCTCGCATAGCGGGTTGGATATCGAGGTTAATCAAAAAAAAAAATCACATTCACATTGTAAGTGACTTTCTCCTTGTCAAGAGTTCATCATATTACTTCTCTTGGCACGCTATCATTTTCTTCGCTAGATGACCAACACCATACGCATATCTTTTTATTCCCTATGTGTCTTTCACGGATGGCCTTGTCAATGTAACAACTCTTTTTGTTGGTCTTTTTGACAAAAAAACTGATTTCTTAATGTCGTAAGGTCAATCGCTACAGCGTGCTTAGTAACCAGAGTTGCATGTGGTGAGGAGGAGGGGTAGGCCAGGGAGGACGTGGGATGAGCAATTGAGGTTGGATATAAGGGCTTTAGACATATTCGAGGACATGATCTCTGAAAGGAGTAATTGGAGACACAGGACTAGGATAGCAGACTAGGTATATTGACCGTTAGCTAGCGTAGATGGATAGAGGGAGTTGGACATGTTGGGGGTAGAGGGCTCGTTGTTTATGCTAGAGATGTGCTTCTGGCCTTACTTGCTCTGTGTATATTTTGCCTTTAACCTTTCTTTTCTATGTATCCACCTGTTACTTTCTCTTATTTATTTTTCTTGTGCTTCGCCACTGTATGTTAGAATATATTCCTTCTACCTGCTTTCTCCCGCTCTTGCACAAGCCGGAGGTCTTCACGTAAACCGCTATATGCTTTTTGAGTAGAGGTAAAATCTGCATAATTCTCTCAACCCCCCCCCCCCCCCCCYCCACAGGGGGCTGGATCATGCTTTTGAGTGGGGTTTACCGAGTCTGTTTGGTTTGTTTTTAACCTTTTCCTATAGTTTCATTGCATGCCTTCTCTTTGGTGGTTTGTACAGTGTAAACTTGGATCAAGATACTCTTCCTCTTTCCCCTATTTGTATGTAGTATTTTGTTAAAATCATCAGTCTTTACCTTTAGTTTCTCTTTTGGCTGGTTTGGACCTGTTAATGTTCTCCATACCTTAATGGAAGTTATTTTCTAATTATGTATAGCAATCAGGCACATATTCTTTTTTTCCACAAAACGATACAGAATTCAGACCACAGGGTTATCAAGTAAAAGTACTTTTAGAAACATCAGTTCTTCATATTCACACACACATATGGTTGGGTTCAGTTGCAAACCAGTTTTAAGTTGTGAACTGGGGGACAAAGGAGAACGTGCCACGTGTCTCATACATTCACAGGTTATTCATCATGAATGGTGCATCAATTTATCATGGTTCATGAATGGCGTATTATTCATCATGAATGGTCTAAATTTAAGGGAAAATCGTCGTTCAATCCGGTCTACAGGGCGGTTTCGTATACTGCTTTTCTCGCTTAGACTTAGTCGATCGAGTCACTCCTTCTCAGGCTTGTAAGATGAAGTAGGGCTATCTTATTCATGATGAATGTTGTATTATTCATCATGAATCCTTCATTATTAATGATGAATGTGGACATCCGTGGACACATGTCGTATGTGTGTGTGTGTGGGGGGGGGGGGAGGGTGTTAGAGAAAATGCATGCCTTTTATTTGATTGTTATCGAGTTTTAAGATATTAATATACATCCTTGGTGAAAGTTCTTTTCTTAAGATGAATACCATTGTGTAACCTAAAAACCTTTTTTTTTTGTTAGTGGCCCATGTGACATTGTTGGTGATATTAGCTGTGAAGAATTGCGTGCTTCTGCCTATGATGATGCTAAACATGGGATGAACATTCAGTCAATTGTAAGTTATTAAAAATCACCATCCTCTTTCTGTTTCCATGCTCTTTTTAAAGATCATATTGTTCTCAAGTTTGACAATTAACGGAACTCACATTTACACAGGTCGAGAAAGAGAGGAGTTTACTTAGTTCCAAGTTGATTGAATTTGAAAACCTACTTCGGAATCCTTATACACCTTCACAAAATTCAACTCATACTGCCCAAAACACCTTTCCTGGAAATAATAGTTCCCCTCAAATGATTCAAAATAATGTCCCTCCTTCGGTTTCAAGTTTCAGCCAATTGGGTACAACCATCAATGCAGGTTTCCAAATGAGGCAAGATTTCGTTTTTCTATTTGATTTATGCCTTTCTTTTAGCAAGTAGGACTTCACCCATAACTCCTGGACCCTTAATATCTTATTTGACCTTTTCAGACCTGCTGCTCCGAATAATGCTTTTGGGCAATCAAATCAGTTCCAAGCTCCTACTCAGATGTCAAATGCATCCCAGAAGAACAACTTTGCTTTTGGAAATCCAGGTGCGATTTTGATGTTATGCAATATGTGGTTTTTTCTGGCTTATTTTTCACTTATTACTTATTGCTTGGTTGCTTGTAGGTCCGACCGGCAGTCAACCCTCTAGCCAGTTGTTTCATAGTTCATTCCCTTCCACCACAACTACCTTTGCAAATACTGATAGGAATGCTTTCTCTAACGCTGCAATTACAACAAATGTTGATGTAGCACATCAACAGTCATCTATGCCATTCGGCAACCATAACGCTTCTACTAATGTAGTTTCTGATCCAGTTTCCAGTGTTGAAATGACGTAAGTCCATTTTTCATCTGTTAATTATGTAGTATTCTTGATGAACCATATTAACCCCCTTAGTAAATGTAACATCCCGTTCCCGGGGGTATCGTCCTTTGCCCTTAGTACAAGTGAATGAAAGAAACTTCATATCTTAAAACTTTTATTTCATTATAATAGAGTTATTACAGCAGCGGAAATGCGGAAATTTACAACTTATGATATTCTAACATCTTAGAATAGCAACACTTCAACTTGTTTCTACTCCTTGATTCTTGAGATACATACATGAATACGTAAGCTTTAAGCTTAGTGAGTAGTTATGGTTTCATGATAAAACATTATTTCCAAATAGTTAAAATAATTCTTATAAACTTTCATGTATAAGAACATTTATTTGAGATCTCATGGTTACATGTTAAGTAAACCAACTTCTCACAGATTCTTTAACCTCTGGTCCACATAAGGGCTGCCCAATAAGGTCCGTTTGCAAGACGTACCTTCTTTCTATATCCCGCACGTTGGATATTTAAATGGTTATACTTAAGATGTATAAAAACTTTCATATACCACATGTGCATCATGGCATAAAAGGTGTATTTTGCCACATAATCATAACATCACTTTTATAAGAAGATATGACAGTATTCTTTCATGCATAAAACACTTATATAAATAGCATGTGTGTATCCCAGTAAATCTCATAACGTACTCACCTTGATTTAGCTTTTCCTTTAATTCCTATCTTCAAGCTTGATTAGGTATAAAGAGAGAGATTTCTTATTTTTGGTATGGAACTAATGATACCACTTCAATCACTATTTATAGGTAAATTCATTGCATTAGCTACTTGTTCTTCTTGCTCCCAAAATTGTACTCTTATGATAGTTAAACACCTCATTTTTGAGGATAAGTGAATCTTGGCACCTCATGCTTAATATAAAAGAATCTTGACACCTCATGCTTCTAGCTTTTATTTGTCATGCTTCTAGCTCTTGCTTGTCATCATGATTTTTGCCAACACATGCTTCTAGCCTTGACAACTCATAACTAGCTTGCTTTGTCATAAGATTTTTGTGGCTCATGTTGTTTGTTTATAAGTAGCTTTGTAAGCTACTTGTCTTATAAATATGATAGTTTAATAAATGCTACAACTGTTGGACTCTTTTAAGAGTACTTAAATCTTGTATTTAAGGCTTAAACATTGAGATTTAGCTAATAAGAAACTAGGGTGTTACAGTAAATGACCAGGAAATTGAATAACTAGGGAAACAAACAATAAAAAGATAGGCAAAGAGAAACCAAACCCCCTCATTTTTTACTTGGAACATATGTTGATGCTCATTTTCGTCCTCACTTTGGTCATATTAGGCATTCATAAGCTAGCTTATCTTTTGAGCTTATCGAAAAAGCTTGTTTGGTTAACCATAAGCTAACTTCTTGAAAACTTGTAGAATAGTATACGGTTATGGGTTAAATAGAGAGCTGTAGATAGACTATGGTAAGGAATCATCTATAGATAAGTTCTATCCCTTTATATTAGGAGTTGTAGTTGTAGTTGTAGTTGTAGTCTATCTTCTAATATCTCTTGTATAAATATTCCCTTATGTTGTAGATCTAAATACAACAAAGAATAAATAATTCTTTCTACAACTCTAAAGCTTTTATGGTATCAGAGCTTTGAAAGCTTGGTCGATAACCACCATGGGATCAGACTCCGAGAAACCGACCAAACCCTCATCAAATACCATCCTTACTGCTGCCAACTTCGACAATAATCTCTCTCCAGCTTTAAGCTGTCTGGATCGAACTACTTTGAATGGTCTCGATCTATCCAACTCGTTATTCGTGGGAAGGGCAAGTACAACTACATCAATGGCTCCATTAAGAAACCCTTACCCACCAATTCCTCCTATGTTGAATGAGATATTCAGAACTCCATGGTTAGGGCATGGCTCATCAATTCGATGCAAGATAGAATTGCAGAAATCTATCAACTTTATCCCACGGCAAAATCCATCTGGGATGCCGTCGCCCTCTCCTACTCAGATCTTGAGGACTCCTCACAGATGTTCGAGCTCCGAACTAATGTTACCACCTACTTTAATACCTTAAGCAAACTTTGGCAGGAATTGGATCTTTTTTCTCAACCTGAGTGGAAAGATCCATTAGATGCTGAGTTATACAAGAAAATGTTCACCAAAGAAAGAGCCTATGATTTCTCGGTAGGACTTGATTCCTCACTTGATGATATTTGAGGACATTTTCTCAACCTTAAACCCCGTAGCAGTAATCAACGCCATCTTGTCGAAGTGTGCCAAGAAGAGCATCGGAAAAAGACTATGATGACAAGTCCAGTTCTTGATGAAACACAGATCGAGTCTGAAACTTCTGCCATGATTGCACATAACCGAGGACCTCGCAAGCCCGCTCTCTGGGGTGATCACTGTCAACGTCCCCATCATACAAAGAATACTTACTAGAAGATTCATGGAAACCTGCTGAGTGGGTACCTCGAAGCCAACAAATGCCTGAAAGTAAAGGAAACCCAATGACCCAAAGATCAGGACCAACTTCTTCTTCCAAACCTATAGATGCTATTTTTTCCAAGGCACAAATTGAGCAAATTGGGCAACCCTTAACTTCTTGAACCTCACTTATGGCTCATGGTAACCATCAAACTAAAGACATTCCAGGTGAGTCATGGGTTGTTGATTCCGGGGCAGAACACATGTCTGGTAATAGATTTGTCTTTCAATCCTTAAACCCTTGTTCGAATAACAACACAATCACCTTAGCGGATGGCTCTATAGCTTCTGTTGATGGAATTGGCATAGTTGCACTTTCATCCTATTTGATTATCCACCTTGTTCTATTTGTGCCCAAACTGTCACAATCTTATCTCTGTTAGGGGATAGTTTGGCTAATTTTTCAAAACATGTGCGCATTTTTTAGGATCAGGCATCTAGGAAGACGATTGGTTGTGCTAAGAGGACTTCTGGATTATACTACTTCCTTCCATCTGAATCTGCCATAAGCTTTCTAGTTCATCGATCTACTACCTTAAATCGTCACCAACGAATCAGTCTTTCACTAAAGGTTTGGCCACTCTAGTTTTTTTACCTTAAGGAACCATTTTCATCTTTGTTTAATAGTTCTGATGTTTTTCCATGCAATGTCTGTCAAATGTCCAAACATACTAGAGTCTCGATTCCTACTCGTGCCTATAGTTCATCGAGTCCTTTTTCTTTAGTTCATAGTGATGTATGGGGTTCTTCAAAAATTCCATCACTTTCTAATAAAAAATGGTTTGTTTCAATCATTGATGATCATAATCGTGTTTGTTGGACTTATCTTTTACATGACAAAGCTGAAGTTGTTGGCATCTACGAAAAATTCCATTCGATCTTTACACAATATGATTAGAAGATCAAAATCCTTCGAACTGACAATGGCACCCAATATTTTAATTAGGCCATATCTACCTTTCCCACAATACATGGTATTATACACCAAAGTTCTTGCGTTAATACCCCTCGACAAAATGGCATTTCCGAAAGGAAAAATCATCACTTACTAGAGGTACCACGATCCCTACTCCCTCAAAGTCATACACCCAAATCTTTTTTGGGGTGATGCAGCTTTAACAACATGCTATCTCATTAATTGGTTGCCTTCACGGGTATTAAAATTTCAAACACCTCTAATTGTCCTACAAAAGTATTTCTCGAAGGCTTATGCCTCTTCCAATCTTGATCTAAGAGTATTTGGTTGCTCGGTTTTTGTCCATATTCATAGTAAAAAATGCTCCAAACTTGACCCACGGAGTGTGAAAGGTGTTTTTGTTGGTTATTCCACATTCCAAAAAGGATATTGATGCTACTGACCAAAGGAACAAAATTACTTTGTTTCAAACGACGTCACATTTGTCGAAAATCAATTCTTTTAGGAAAACCAAGTATCCAATCCCGGAGGATCCGAAATCTGAGAATAGTTTTTGTTGTTCGATCCTCCAACCACCTCTACAAATAACGAGCCAGAAGAACCTCACCCACACCCACAATCCAGAAACAGCCGAACCTATCTCTCTATCACCAACCACCCCACAACGTGTCCCCACCCAACCCACAAACCATGCTGACTCCTTCCCTATCACATACAACCGAACGAAAGGAGTTACTCCAAAGTCTATGGTACACCACGAGTCGCCCTCAGAATTCTGATCTTTATGTACCGATTGCCTTCAGAAAAGGTTCGCGCTCTTGCACTCAACATTCTATTTCTCTTTTTCTTGGCCATGCTAATTTGGTCCCACCTATGAAGGCTCTTGTTTCAGATCTGTCTTGAACAAAAGAATCAACCAATATTCAAGAAGCTTTGCAAGACAGTAAGTGGCGGGCTGCAGTATATGAAGAGCTTTGTTTCCTTTAGAAGGAATGGTACATGGGAAGTGGTTGAACGACGACATGGAAAGACCTCGGTTGGCTGTAAATGGGTGTTCACGGTGGAGTACAAAAGTGATGGCTCTATTGACAGATACAAGGCTCGGTTAGTCACAAAAGGCTACACTTAGACTTACAGGATCGATTAGCAAGAAACTTTTTCCCCGGTTGACAAAGCTAATACCATCTGGGTTCTATCATTTGCTGGCTTGCTGCCAATTGGCCTTTTCCTTAACTGGACATGAAAAATGCGTTTCTAAGTGGCAACTTCAACAAGGAAGTCTACAAGGACTTACCCGCCGCTTTTCATGCTATCAATGGTACCTAGAAAGTTTGTTATCTCAAGAAAGTCATTTATGGTCTCAAACAGTCCCCTAAAGCATGGTCTGATCGATTCATTCACACGGTGAAAAAAGTTGGGTATGCTCAAGCCTATGCCAGCCACACCCTTTTCTATCTTAGGGAGCATGGTAACATCACTATTCTTATAGTGTATGTCGACGATATTATACTTATGGGAGATCATGAAGTAGCCGTCGCAAAAATCAGAGCCCATCTGGCTCACTCTTTCTAAATGAAAGACCTTGGTCCATTACGGTACTTACTGGGAATGGACATTGCAAGAACAAAATCTATGATCTTGTCTCAAAGGAATTATACCTTGGACTTGGTAAAAGACACCGGGATGCTAGGATCTCGGCTCGCCTCTACTCCTATGGATCTAATCTATAGCCTGATGCTACTTCCACGGTTCCGGTCGACAGGGGGAGATTCCAAAGTCTTGTTGGTCGACTGGTATACTTGCACATACCAGGCCTGATATTACGTTTGCAGTTAACTATGTAAGCCAATTCATGCACTCACCAACCTAATGCTGTCCACCGAATCCTATAGTACCTTAAAGCTACACCAGGTCATGATTTACTGTTTGAAAAACAAGACAATCGAAGTGTAGAAGTGTTTACAAATGCAAGTTGGGAAAATTGTCAAAATGATTGGTGCTCTATCTCGGGTTACTGTTCCTATGTGTTTGGCAACCTTGTCACATGGCGAAGTAAGAAGCAGAGAGTGGTCTCAAGCTGAACAACGAGGTGGATCGAACAAAACATGTTGAGATGGATCGTCATTTCATCAAGGAGAAGGTTGACAAGGAAATCTTGAAATCCTACATCCCTACTACTCAACAAGTGGCTGTCATCTTCACTAAAGCACTAAAGGTCAAGCTTGGATTGTATAACATATACCATCCAACTTGAGGGGGAGTGTAGAATAGTTTACGGTTATGGGTTAATAGAGAGCTGTACATAGTCTCTGATAACGAATTATCTATATATAATTTTTATCTCTTTATATTAGGAGTTGTAATTGTAATCTATCTCCTATCTCTCTTATATAAATATCCCCTTATGTTGGGTAGATCTAAATACAACAGCGAATAATAATTCTATCTGCAACTCTAAAGCTTTTAAAACCTATTTGAAGTATTGTTTTAATATGCTGAGGGGGGGGGGGGTTTCTTCTATCTAATTATGCCACTTGTATTTTCGCAATTAATTTTTGAACATGTCATTTTCCATTGTCATCTAGTTTTTATGAAATATGACTAGTTTATCTGTTAACAACTAGGTTATGAGCTATCCAACATAGCCTTTGTGAATCTGAGCCTATACTTAAAAGACATTTTTGCCCCTTGGTCTACTTTAATTTTGGATGTGAGTAGAGAACTCCAATACGTATTTTAGGTCTTATAGAAGAGAATTGAGCTTTGGCATAAACAAAGAGAAAACACCAAAATTCCTTGCTTACTATGCGTTGTATTATGTTTTGGGTTGATTTGGTTCTTCTGTTATGCAGGCAAAACCTTCAAAAATCATATAGTCATAGAGACAACAGTATATGGTTCAAAGATGAATGGACACCAGGAGAGGTAATTACTTGAAGTTTTCATCAAGTCTTCCTTTTGCTTTTCCAAATCTGTAGCCTAAATATTCTTTCTTTTTTCCGATTCTTTTTTTTTTCTTTCAAATTGTTCGGAAGTTCTGGGAAAACTTTATTTTCTGCACATACTTTTTGCAAGTTGTGGGGTCTTCATGAAAACAGCCGCTCTACTATTGTTCACTTTGTATTGTAGATGGAGGTAGTATCGTGTAACTAGAATCATTGCCTTTTTGTGTTTGCAGATTCCTGAAGAAGTACCTCCAGAAGGAGTCATCTATTAGGGTAATTACAGGATCTTTACTAGACCAGAAAGAAATACCAGTTTTGTTGTTTTTCTTACTTGACCAAATTTTGGCCTATTTATTTATTCAAGTAAAAACAGATGTTGGAAAATTTACAAGAACGGTTTTCTTTGTTATGTTTAAAGAAAACTAGAGCTTGCCAACTAATAATCTGGGTTGATATGATAGATCTTGCAGTTGGTGGCTCTTGTGGTTGTCGGGTAACCATGGCTATCTCCAGTTGTTAGAACCTGACCTACCTTTCCGTTGTGGAGTTTGTACTAAGAAAACAAAGGGTGATTGATGGATGCAACTTCTTTACAACTAAATCTTTGTCAAAACAATTGCAAAAGGATTAGTAACCAAAAGCAAAATCTCTAGTCTTGAGAGGGGCCAAGTTCTGCAAAAAAAGGTACGAGGTCAAGGGTCAAAGTTCATGCTAGTAGAGCCCAGCCTAATAATGGTTCAAACTTCACCAAAGGTGAACGGCATGCAGAGTATTTGCCATGCATAAATATTATATATTTCCTGAAAAGGCATAAATATTATATACTTCCTGAAAAGGTCTTGTGCCTGCAGTGTGCCTACTTTTATTATGGAGATAAAAATTGGGGTTAAAGGACCGTTTACCAAATGCTTATCGGGTGCGCATGATTAGGCCCTAGAACCTTATCGAGTAAGAGACGTAGCAAGCACCCATAATCTTAAGCCGATAAGCAAGGGAGAAGAAAATCTTATCCAGTTAGTTTATTGGGTAAGAGTCGTTTACCAACAATTTACTTTTATACTCGAGAATGTTATCTAGATAAGGTAAGCGAGAGTGGTGAACCTTGTCGAGAAGCGCTTACCTAGTAAGCATTAATAACATCCCAAAGTATTAACTTTTTTAGGTACTTGAATGTGCAACTATAAGCTTTTTTGGGTTAAATTACAAAAATTAAAACTTCAGTGGTTTATATCAAAATTCATAAAATAAAAACTCCAGAGCCGTAGATATATTATGGTTATTTATTTTATGACACTACTTCAATATTGCCTTTTTTTTTAAAGAACCCTAATAGTTCACTGATGATTGTCAAACGATACCTATATAAAACCCTAATCCATCATGGTCCATAACCAACAACGATCGACAAGAGTTCCGTATCATACCAAGTTGTACCAAATTACAATGGGCAAAATACATAAAATAGCAATCTACTTTCATAAATTTCTTTATTATAGCATTGTACTTTCAGTTTTTCTTATTACAGCAATGTACTTTCAAATTATTTTTTATTAGGACATTATACTTTGAAAAATTTACCCATTATAGCATTGGGTAACCTTTTGATTTAAATTTACCCATTATACTAGGTTTCCATGCCACCTCATTGTCCACGTAGGCTGTCCACATGTACTATAGTGATATGACTTTCTTACTACATCATTGTACTTTCAAAATTATTTTATTATAGCATCTACTATTTCTTATTAAACACTATATTTTTAATTTTAATATTTAAATGTTTTACATGTTTTTTAATAAATGTATTAAATGAATTAAAAAACTTTTAAATTATTCATTAATATACCAATATCAATAAAACTAGTAGAACACAATTTATCTCGCTAATATTTTTTAAAAAAATATGTGTTTTTTGAAAAAAGGAAAATAAGAATTGTTCTTTTTTTACCAAAAAATATTATCTTTACTTGACGAATATATTATATTTGTTTAAAAACTTTTTACTTGACGTATAAACATATTAAATTAATTAGATTTTTTTGAAGTATTTATTAATATAACAATATTAAAAAATTGTAGATAATAATTTATTTCGTTAATATTTTAAAGAGAACTTTAAAAGATATGTATTTATTTGAACAACATAAAATAGGAAAAATTGTCTTTTTTACAAATAAAATATATCTCGAAAATAATGTTGCATATTTATTTAATAAATATTTTACTCTAAGAATATTTAATTTAAATGCAACCTAATAAGAAAAAGTAAAAAAAAATGTTTTTTTAGATAATAGCAATGAAAAATGAAAATCACTAATAATAATTTGAAATATGTTTTTATTTTAATTTTAGTTAAGTCATTAAAATGATGTGTCATCCACATCACCTCATTAAAGCCACACAAGCAAAAAAGTCAAAGGGTTAACCTGTTTAAAAGGTAACAGGTTACCCATTGCTATTATGGGTAGATTTTTTAAAGTACAATGCCTTAATAAAAAATAATTTGAAAGTACATTGCTGTAATAAAGAAAAACAAAAGTAGAATGCTATAATAAGAAATTTTGTGAAAGTAGGTTGCTATTTCATGCATTTAACCCAACTACAATTTTAGAACTTATGGACGGTTTGTATGTTTTTTTTTTTCCAAATCATATGCGGTTTGAATTTGGCTTAAACCTTATTGTACAATGTCACATGAAGTCTAAGATACAAATTATGTCATTCATACAAATCAATCAGTTGAGATATTTATAAAAATAATGAGAGCTCATTTATTATGTTAGAGTTAATTAATTATTAATTATGATCAATGCTCTATATTAAAAAACATTCGATATATTTGTGAAATTAGATACACTAAAATAGATGGACGGTTAAGATATTTGTATAATTTGTATGAATGACATGATTTGTATTTGAAAGTCATTCTCTCTCTCACTCTCTCTTTGTGAGCATCGGGGTGTGTGTGTGTGTATATATATATATATATATATATATATAGAGAGAGAGAGAGAGAGAGAGAGAGAGAGAAAGTCTCAACCAAATGCAACCCCCTTAAATGTTGCAACCAATACAACTTCATCTACACCACACAATTAAACAATTAATGGTTGGAGATGAGGCGGTTACAGTTGGGACAAGGCAGTTCATTTTTAAAAAAATTAAAAACAAAAATGCTCCTCAAAGGGTGATAATCTATTGTTAGAATTAAAAACTAATTTCATTGGGTTGCATTGGTTGCAACATTTGAAAATACATGGTGTATTGACAACATATGAATGCTTAATCATATATGATTAAATACACCGAAATAAGTGTAATCATATATAATATTGAAATTTTTCACAAAATGTTTAACTTCTTGCATGATCCTTCCCTACTCTCTCTCGATATAAAACACAACCCCTCTATATAGGGGTGTTCAAATACAACCCCTCTAGATTATAAAACCTATAAAATCCACCTCTCCACCATCCATTTTTTTAGTTTTTTTGTTTTTAATTAAAGGTAGTTACAACTGATCAAATGGTAATCGTTGATGATCAAATTGACGCTCATGATTTGGTGTTATAAGGGTTGTAGGAATGTAAAAAGTTACATAATAACCTATCTATCTCTCTATCTGTGTGTGTGTGTGTGTGTATATATATATATATATATATCAAGGTTCAAAATGGCGTGAAGCTTGGAGTAACGGCGAGGTCAAGCCTCAAGCCTTAGGATCCACGACGAGGTCGCAATGTTTTTTAAGGCGTGACTTATGACGACAAATCTTTATATCATATAAATTATTTTACATATAAACATATATTTCCGACTATTACTCAGTGAATCAATGATATTAAACATTTTAAATTAGGTTATACATTAGAAACTAAAAAATAACACATTAACAAAGTAAGAAAAATCAAATATTGTGTTATAAAAACCACACATTAGGTCATGGCGTGCCACAGACATAACGTGGAGTGAGACACAAGCCCTAAGCCATGGTGAGCCACGACGGCTGTTACGACGAGCTTTTTCAAACACTAGTACACACACAACACACACACACACACACACACATATATATATATATATATATGTGTGGTTAGGTTTCAGTGAGAAGAAGAGTTAAGATGAGAAGTGTAAGAAGGGATCCACCATTGGATGCATACATTAAGATGATATGCACCGAGATGCACTAGATCAATTATCGTGAGAAGCACAATTCATGGGTGGGCAAGAAATCAAAAGTGATCAAGGGTCCAGATTCTTTCTTATGTTTCTCATACGATCCTACACACACATACACATGAGAAATGTGTAGTTTGCGATAACTGATAGATTCAATATGAACCAATCATTTAAGATAATTTTTGTTATATTTTTAAATAATCATAAAGGATAATTTAGTAAAAAAAATATTGACAACTCATATTATATCATTCCGTATATCACGGCTCATAAAATCTTTACGTACCTCTCGCCAACCTTAAAAAAAGATTCTCTCTTTCCCTCTCCATCAATCTCATAGAAGCCATGCTCCATTCAAACATATGTCAAGAGCTCTGATGATGTTTTTCTCTCCTTGAGATCTTACATAAAGACCCCCTCAAACCCCTCCCACCCCTTTAAACGATAGTCGAGAGGAAGACGATGATAGTAGCGGAGATTCCAATGGTGATGGGAGCGAAAATTCCAAAAACATTTAAGAGGAAGATGACGACGTTGAGGAAGACGACGACGTTGAAGAAGACGACAACGCTGAGGAAAGCAACCCATATCGTTCCACAATTTCCAACGAAACAACCACCAGTCCGGTTTCGATTCCTCCAATCTAGAAAAACAACCGAGATCGGTCTTGGTTTATAGTTTCTATACATATGCGTAGACCTGGAATGACCGTGATAAGAGTTTCCTAGTGAGGCGAGAGGCTCCTTTCAATCGACGAAGGCTTGAGTCCCCTACAACCAGTACAATGCGCTAGTCGCATCTTCTATAAGGTTGCCATCTAATATAAAGAAAGCTGTCCTTGTGGACTCTATTTCATCTTTTTTAACTATATTCATGCTTCATGAAAAAAAGGAAGCAATCCGGTTCGCACCTTTATCCATTTTTTTGGGAAAATGCATTTTCACAACTTCCTATTGAATCAAAAAATTCCTACACCCATGCTCTCTAGAAAAGTCTTCTCTAGAAGTTTTATACTAAGCCTACTTATTGTTATCCCCCTGTGGCTGCCTTTGCTTTTTCCCACAATCACAAGCCCACTAGGCATAAAGAAAACATAGGATCCTCGTGCCGAAGCAGGCATCTTTCTTGGCTATCCTTTTGGCCAACTCTTTTCTCTCTCATATATGATTCTTCTTTAAAACCATTTACACTTCCAGGAGTATCAGCGCAGCTTCGATAGGACAAGGTTTGAAGATCTCTTACGCAGAAAGTCTTTCACTCTCTCTTATTCAGTTCGAATCATCAGTTATTTGATAAAGCT